TAAAAAGATTCAAGAACTTTTATATAAGTATCACATGAAGAGATACAATACCATCTTCAATAGAATGATAGACTGCACATTAACTTTAAACCTCTGAGTGAATAATTGAAGATTTTAGAATGTCTCTCTACTGATAATGAATTTAGACTAGCACTTTGTTATTTTGAGATGAAAGTAGCTGGTAGTATAGAATATATGACTTGATGTTAAAAATCAATACCTGATTTGACTAAGTAAACAGTCTATCTCTGAATAAATTACAGAGCTAATGTTGAAGATAATACTTCAATCAATATTAAAGTGTTCAGACTCTAAGTCTGAGCATCACAAAGATGTAAAATAAAGAGAGATTAAACTGAACAAAGAGATCAGATAGAAATATCACACTCAGCTTCAAAGATTGAAAGAAATCAGCTCAGTCATTATGTCTGAGACAAGATAGAGACTGGTCTTAAAGAGAGCAGTATCATAGATAATGAATATGAACTTCATTGAAGTCATTTTATTTCATAAGTATATAAAGAATAAGAACTCAACAGTCTTTATAATCAATCTATATGAAATTAGTAAACAGCTTAAAGAGAGATAACATCTAGCAGATGCAAATAAGAAATCTGATGAGAATCTAATTAGTCACTTATCAGAATAACTAAAGAATTAGAAGAACTGTTTCTCAAAAAAAGCATTAGATAAATTATTCTCTTTATATAAAAGTGTTGATTTTAAAATAAAGCTTTAGTTTGATACTGATCTCATCTAAAACATCAGATATACATCTTTATATAAGATAAATTTGACAGAGTTAGAAGTGGTAAAGATCTATCTTGAAGTTAATTTAGTAAAAGATTTTATTATAGCAAGTTCAGCTCTTTATATCTTTTTAATTCTAATTGTCTGTAGTAAGAAGAAGCTACAATTCTATGTTGACTTTCGTAAGCTAAATGCTATAATTAAATAAGATTAGTATTTCATACTTCAAATAAATAAGCTAATAGACTGATTCAACAGAGTAAAATATTTTACAAAGCTGAATATTTAGTATAGATTTTATTATATCTGAATGAACTCTGAGTTTGAGAATCTGAGCATGTTTAGAATTTATTATAAGATTTACATATATCAGATGATTCTCTTTGATCTTATAAATATCTCTGTCTACTTTTAATAATTTGTTAATAGTATTTTTTTTATTATTTGAACAAGTTTATAATAGCATTCATGAATGATTTTCTAATTTACAGCAGAACTTTTAAATAATATAAACAGTAAGTAAATCTAATACTAAACTGATTAAAGACAGTAAGCTTGCAAGCTAGCATCTAAAAATATAAATTTACTATTTAGAAAACAAAATATCTAAAATTTATCATTATCATAAAGAGGATTGAGATAGACTATAAGAAGACTGCTGTTGTCACAAAGTAATAGATTTTAATCACAGTTAAAAATGTTTAATCATTTCTAGAATTTGACAACTTCTATTAGTGATTTATAAGAAACTATAGCTAAATTGCAAAATCACTATACCAGTTGGTAAAGAAAATAATTTTATTTATATAGATATTAGAATGTCAGACAGTCTTTAAGAAATTAAAGAAGTAGCTAATGAAGATTTGAACTCTATATTACTATGATTCTGAATATAAAACTCATATTAAGACTGATATTTCAGATGAAGTGATGATTGAAATACTGAATCAAAGATTAAATGATAATTTTTAACACTCTGTGATCTTCTACTTCAAGTTAATAAATGATGTAAAGCTCAACTATGAGATTTATGATAAGAAAATGCTAGCAGTGGTCTGAGTCTCATAAAAATAATGAACAAAGCTTGAAAAACTATAATGGAAAAAATAATTCAAAATTCTCATTGATCATTATATACTGAAATACTTTTATGACTATCAAAAAACTGAATGTGCGTCAAATCTGCTAAGTAGAGTTTTTTTCCTATTTCTACTTTGAGATTAGGTATTAATCAGACAAAATCAATTTGCTAACAGATACACTGAGCAGATTTCAAAAGATTAGAAGATAATAAAATAGTTATATATAAATTCTTCTAAAATCAGAGATTCTTGACTCTCAGATTACTTTCTCTATGAATATTGCTAGTATTAACTTCTTAGAGAAAGAGAATATTGCTGAATACATAGTTTTTTAAATAAGACAGTCATCTCAATTAAGTCTTTGACAGCAGACAGATGATGAGAATAGTCTTTATACAATGAAAGATAATGTGCTACAGTATAATGAAAGACTAGTGATATCTGTTTAGAAAAAGAAAACTCTGGTAGCTGAGCTACTGTAGAAAATTCATAATTAAGCTTTAATAGCATATTCTGAAGAATGAAAGACTCTGACTCTGATGCAATCACATTATTGATGAGTCATTTGACTAACAGATATTCTATACTATATTTAGAACTGTCATATGTGCCGAATTTATAAAATTTCAAAAGATAAGACTTTTGATTTGTTAAAGTTATTATTAATATCAAAATGAGCATAATAGTACATGATAATAGACTTCATAAATATGCTGAAAAGTAAAATAGATTATAATATTATTTTAATTATAGTATACTAACTAAGCTAAAAGACAATCTTCATTTTAATTATTTGAGAAGTTACAGTTCAGAAGCTGATCTTACTATTCATCTGATTCTACTATTTCTATAATAAGATATTAGACTTGATTGTCTCTGACTGCAACTCTCAGTTCATATCAAACTTCTGAAATAAGTTCATAGAAATTTTAGATATAAAGTTGAAACTTTCAACAGTATATCATATACAGATAGATGAATAGACAGAGATAACAAATTAGTATATTATTACACATCTTCACTCATATATTAATTACTACCAAAATAACTGAGATGAGTAATTACTCATTATAGATTATGCTTTCATAGTCATCTTAAACATCTTTACTAGAATCTCTTCATTTCTAGCTGCAAATGAATAATAGTCATAAATATCATTTAACTAAAGACCTTTATCAAGAGAACTAAAAACAGAAAAGAAGACAAACTGAAGAGCTGCTCAAAACTTTGTTAAACAAATGAAAGAGATCTGAAAGTGAGTAGATAAGAGCATAATGATAGCACAAAAACAGATGAAGAGATAGACTGATAAATATCATTAGATATTTAACTTCACAATGAGAGGTTTTGTCTATTTGACATTGAAATCATACAGAATTAACTGATCAAGCTGTAAGCTGACAGCATAGAACATAGATCTCTTCAGGATTCTAGAGAGAATAAGTAACATTTATAGACTAAATCTTCTCATAATCATGAAGATTTATTCAATCTTTTCTTTAGACAAGCTGCATAAGAATTCAAGAGACTCTATATCAGAACAGAGTATCAAACCATCAGATTCAATTGAGATAAATGAAGAAAATAAATGAGAAGTGAAGCATATATTAGTTAGTCAAATAAATTGAGACAAATTGCAATATCAAGTTCACTAAAAGAGATTTAATGAGAACTTATTTTAATACTTAGCTCATGATTTCAAAGAATCATCACATGTCATATGTGACTTTTATAAGACTAACTCTACAAAAGCTGAACCTTCAAGACAACTAGATGAGTGGCTGAAGGCATGGGAGACAGACAGCTACCTGAAGGATGAGGTTGATGATGACCTACCAGCATGAGGACATGCCTGTCCCTAGACTAGGGGGTGATGTTAGGCTCAGCGCCTGACCGAGCCCGACTGAGGCCTGGCGCCTGGTTAGACTTGATCCGGCGCCCGGCTGGCTCAGCGTCTGACCGAGCGACCGAGGCCCGGTGCCCGGTTCGACTCGACGTCGGATTGAGCTCGGCGCCCGATTAGGCCTAATCCTCATCACGTGACCACGCGACCATGCGGATGGTTATAATCCAGGCAGGCCCACCCTTTCATCCCATCAAGCTTAGTACTTCGTTATACAGCAGTTAGCAACGCAGAGAGTTCCCTTCTCATGCAGCTCGCATTTGCTCCCTAACACTATTCATCTATCTAACTAGGCAGCTGCGACAAGAATGCTAAACTGAGGATTAGAATGTTGGAATGAACAAGCAGCCAAATATAAATAAGTGGTCAGAGCGGATCAATATAAGCAACTGAATATGGTTGAGAATTGGAGCGGATCAACCTTAATCCATATTAACTACCAGCGACTGGCTGCGCCGTAACAAAACCAGACAATGAAACAATATCTCATTTTAAAGCTCTCAAACAAAGAAGCAATAAACTTGCTTCATAGCTCAAAATTCATCTTCAATTTGAGAAACAAATTGAATCAAATACTTTTCTCAGTTACAATGAATAAGAGAGTAATTTCTACACCCTGTTCCCTTTACGGTGTGATAACGCTGATATCCTCCTGGTACAGGGTTTGAGCCTGTCACTGTTCCTGTCCTTCTGATGTGTGGATACTATTATACTATTGGCTTAAAAAAGTCTAGTTTCTCCGTATTTAAATGCTGTTGGACATGTAGTTATCATCAAACACCAAATTTTTTCACGTCATCAAGCAACTATTCGCTTCGTTTGTCGAAGGACCCCCTTTCGAACTCCATGTTGGAACATCTTTATATATAGATATTCATTTTCACAAAATTCTCAGACGATTGTCTACCTTCACAGCGGTAGAGAGGATTTGCATCTAATATCGACAAAGGGGCGACGGCATTATCGGCCTAAGATCTCGGGATGAGAATAGGGCCTCGGCACCGATTATTTTTCTGCCCCAGCAACGACTTGCTTCTTAGCAACGATTGCATCGCCCACGGGCCCCAAGGAGTCCAACAACTGACGTTCGACTTTTTACGACACAATTCCTCCATCTTCCATGCCATATTTCTTTCTCTAACCTTTACACCATATTCAAAACTCATTTTTTACTCATTATTTCTGAGCCTTGTTTTGGAGTATCCCGAGTGTAGACGTTGTTTCCAAGTACTTTACATTGTCAGTGTCAGTGTTAGCCTACCATCATGCTGGCCCAGTCACCCTATCCACCGGTAGATATACCAAATGTGGATCTATGGTCTTTGTTGTTTGAAAATAAGAAAAGGATTTTCCCTGACGATAAAGGTGAGTTAGTGTATGCATACCCCTTCTGCCGCTGGGCTGTTCGCCATGTCTGGCCGCCAGTGTTTTCTAACAACATATTTGCAGTGATATTCCAAGATGCCGACACTCTCCGCTCCTACACCTATTCCCGAGTCAAAAGCATTGCTCTTGATTTCGGTAAAGGCCTGAAAGCTACTTGGGATTGGCAAAAGGGTGACGTCTTGGCCCTTCTTTCCCCAAACGACATTGACATTCCCCCGGTAATTTGGGGAACTCACTGGGCCGGCGGAGCCGTTACCCCCGTAAACCCAACATATACCGCCGAAGAATTGGCTCTCCAGCTTAAGGGGACAAAAGCCAGGGTGCTTGTCACCCAGTTAAACCTCCTGCCAACTGCTATCGCTGCTGCCAAGTTGGCCGGCATCCTCGATGACCGTATTGTCCTGCTTGGCGATAGGAGGGATTCAACTGCCAAGTTTAAGCATTTCACTTCTATACAGAATATTTCCCGCGCAACGAGGTATCGCAAAACGCGTGTCGATCCAGCGAAGGACCTGGCGTTTTTATCCTTCAGTTCGGGAACGACAGGCGAACCGAAAGGGGTTATGCTCTCTCACAGAAATATTGTTTCAAATATTATACAGCTTACCGCTGGAGAAGAGGACCATTTAAGTTGTACTGGCGGGAAGGATGGGAATGGCGACAAAGTATTGGCGTTTTTGCCATTCTTCCACATATATGGTGTGTAGCCATTTATATATGCCAAATATAACCTCAAGAGAGAACTATATACTAACCACAGAATTTAGGCCTTACCTGCCTCGTCCATAAATCCATGTACACCGGTATCCAGCTGGTTGTCATGTCTAAGTTCGATATCGAAAAATGGTGCGCCCATGTCCAAAACTTTGGCATTACCTTCTCCTATATTGTTCCTCCTGTTGCAGTCCTCCTTGCCAAACACCCTATAGTTGAAGAGTATGACCTGTCTTCCTTGCGCTTGATGAATTCTGGTGCCGCGCCGCTCAGTCGCGAGCTCGTCGACGCTGTGTATGCCCGCATTAAGACTGGCGTCAAACAGGGCTACGGCCTCAGCGAAACAAGCCCGACAACACATACGCAAGCGTGGGGGGATTGGAATAAATTCATTGGTTCCGTCGGCCGTCTGCTGCCCAACCAGGAAATCAAGTATATGACCTCCCCCGACGACGGAAGTGAACCTGTTGAACTCTACGTCGGCCAAACTGGGGAGATCTATGTGCGCGGCCCCAACGTATTCCTTGGTTACCTCAATAACCCAGAGGCAACTGCAGCATGTCTTTCTCAGGATGGCTGGTTCCGCACTGGCGATGTCGGGCATCAGGATGAGCATGGAAACCTGTACATCACTGATCGTGTCAAGGAGCTTATTAAGTACAAGGGTTTCCAGGTGGCACCCGCTGAGCTTGAGGGTGTCCTAGTCGAGAACGAGGTGATTGTTGACGTTGCTGTCATAGGTGTTGAGAGCGAGGTACATGGCTCTGAGGTACCCCGCGCCTACGTTGTGTTAAGCGGTAAGAAGGTAGAGGACGGGACTGCTGCAGACGCCGAGCAGATTGTGCAGTGGCTTTCCGGGAAGGTTGCGCCACACAAACGGCTTCGAGGAGGAGTGAGGTTCGTTGATGAAATCCCGAAGAGTGCCAGTGGGAAGATTCTGAGACGGGTGTTGAAGGATCGGGCACGGAAGGAGGATACTGTTGAACGGGCTAAAGCGAAGCTGTAGCTAGCTTCCCTCGGATAACGTAATCCACCACCCAACGCCCGTTTACACCCAACGCCCGCCATTTCGCCATCACTATGATGAAATATTTTCAACGTTATTTCAACAACGCAATTAGACTTTAAGATGATATATTATAGGATGAAAATATATATAGAAAATTACATATAAAAATATATAGCTAATTCAGTAAACATTTGTTTGGCTTAATAACTCGCCCAAAACATGAAATCTTGGGTGGAGGCAGATTCAGCGAGCAAGCAGTCATTAAACCAGTAGAGATTGCAATATCGTCATATCCCTCCGGCAGTGGATCCGTGGGCACCCTGGCAGGGCTCTGAAAACGCGATTTAGCCACTCTTTGCGAAATCGAGGGTCTACTTTCCCGATTAGGAAGGGTGATTTTTGAATTCTTCAATCATCTTCTTATTCAATCGTGATTGTAGCCGTACGGCAGCTCGTTCTTCCTTTTCTTTTTGCTCCTGAGCCTTTTTCTCATCTCTAAGCTCCTTGTCAATCTGCTGTTGAGCAGCTCTTGCGGCCTTATCCATTTCCTTTTGCTGTTTTGTGGCCTGGCGAGCTGCCTCCCGCTCCATCCTCTGCTGGATGATATATGCCTCCTTCTGTTCCTTAAGAATAGTGCGTTGCAGCTTTGCATCCTCCTTACGAGCTTGCTCATCCTTTTTGGCAACCTCTGAGGCCGCCAAATTCTCGCGGATGCTCTGCACCTTTGCAGGCGAGAAGAACTGCGCCAATGATGGATTCAAGGGATCTAGCAACCCCATTGCCCTGCCACGCTTGCGACGTCTCCTCTCTTGATTAAGAGCTTTTTGAAGCTGCCGATTTTCTATTAAAAGAACCTCTTTATCAAGAGCAAGATTTTCCCCTGCACGGATCACCCAGTTGAGATCATTAGATATTTGATGCTGCTGCTGCTTGACTTGCTTCACCAATTCCGCAGGCCAACAATAGAGGTAGGTGTTCTTGGTTGATATATTGCATCAGGGGGGGTGCAAGGTCGTATTTGAAGCTTTTTAAGAACGCGTTCCGGATTGAATGGATGTAGGCCAGTAGCAGCAAATGCAGCTTCAATATTTGAAGATGTAACTGCCTCCTTCCACGCAGTGTCAAAAAGCTGCCAAAAAGACCTCTTTGTAGTGTGTATGAATCCCATTCCAGTTCTCATTCATTAATTCAGTTGTTTTGGAATATGATTTACCCAATGGTCCAAATATCCCAACATCTAGCGGCTGTAATCAGTATGTAGAATGGGGAGGAAAGACAGCAAGTAGAATTCAATTCCAATCTGCATAATTGATGAATGCCATATTAACATGGGATGAGTGGCCATTCAATATAAGAAGTCTATATCTGTGGTCTGCCTTCTTTTTTGTAAGAGGTTCAAAGATCTTCTTTAACCATGTTAACCCATATTCATCATTGCTCCACCCATTTTCTGAAGCAGCGAAGTAGGCCTGATCCTTTTCACTATCAAAATCTTCGAGCCAAGTATCTTGCATATCTCTTGATTCCCCTTGATATATGAGAGCAGGTGGGAGCGAAGTTCCATCTGCGCAAATTGAGGCAAGTAGTGTTATGAATTCTCGACTGCCATCCTGGCTGGCACCTATCATACGGCCCGATTTGAGCGAATTAATCGATACAATACGTTTGAGGGTGTGAATAAATCCTAATAGGAATCCTTTCTCATCAAAGTTGTAGATATTCACAGGTTCAAGGTTGTATTTCGTGATTTTTGCCTGCAGCTGAAAAATTAAGATAAATTAGCAAGATGAGAATTAAAAAAGCAGTATAAGAAAGAAATCTATTACAAGATCAAAATAATGCTTGAAGTATGCAGAATTGTCTGCAATCTTGCGTTTTTGGTCGATATTTCGCAGGTAGAGCGACTTGATCACATCCTTGTGGCGCTCGCAGAACCGAGCCACCCAGTTGACTCCAATAGGTGCTTTTAGAATCTCAACAACGAGATTATGAAGGATTTGGGGCGTACAAGGGAAACCGCGATCCGCCAATCGATTGATATGAAAAAGGAGCCGTTTTTCTTGCGAATCAGTGAGAGCTTTGCAGTGGATAGAGCTTGCTTCCTTTCTTGACATTTGAACGCCTCTATAACGCCTTGACAATGTATATCAGCTGATTCCATATTTTTTAGCGGTCTCAGTGTAATTAGGCGTTAATTGCGCGTTCAAATCATCAATCGCGGCTTGTATAACTGCTTCGTGGTGCATGTTGTGGGTGGTTAAAGATGAATGAAAAATGAAGATTTGAGCGGGCGTTGGGTGTAAACGGGCGTTGGGTGGTTGATTACGTTACTTAGCCCTTCAGTGTTTTCTTTCCTTTTTTTTCCTCCCCCTTCCCCCCCCCCTCAGAGTAGCTTTAAAACTAAGGACCGTTGTGTTTGTTTTGAACCCAGGAGATATATCTTGGGGTTGTATGTATGGTGCCAAGTGAACACGGAGTACCACATAGAGCTGAATCAAGTCAATAATTTGTCATTTATATCATTATTTTCCCCTCAGAAAGACATGATAATGGTATACAAAAGGGCTACGCAGATAAATAACAGTTTAACAACATAGCTCTACAGAGAATGACAATAAGGGGTTGATTTAACAGTGTCATCTAACTAGTATATTAAGCGGTTTCGAGCCAAAAACAAAGTAATGATTGCCCATAAATCTCACCCAACTTGATCAATATATATCATTATCCTTAATACGGTCGACTTGACTTTCATAAAAGTTCGCGTCCCACGCTCCCTCTCGTCCACACATAAACGTTACCTTTGTTGTCGCCAAAATTTGAACTTCCCTTCCTCTCTAAACAACAGTCTATCCAAAACCCCAAATATGCTCAAGACCTCCCCTTCTCCACCGCCACATTCCCCCCTATCTCTCCTTCATCCACAAAATTGTCCTTACAACTTGCAGTCCAAAAGTGGCACCTCACTGCAAAGCTTATCGGCGGATGCAGTAGGATCGTTGCAAAGGGTATTGCACTCTGTCTTCTCGGGAGTGAAAACGAGAAACTCGTAGTGCTTGAATGGGAGACGGAATTGTTTCTTGCCGTAGGGGTCGTCGTACTTGGTCGCTTTATAGCCGGCACGGCAGGCGCAGTGGAAACTGTAACCCATGTTGATACAGGACGTAGTTATATCACAGAAGTTTTTGCCCGAGACAGGGTTGCAAGTAGGGCAGACAAGGGCGTTGGGATAATGTTCCTTTGGGGAATAGCCATCACTGAAATCTGCTGCTGGGTGGGCAGTAGCGAGGAGGGAGGAGGTGGTAATGAGCAGGATAGTGGAGATGACTTTGATGTTTAGCATTTTTGCAGTTTGTAAACCTTTTGAGATATTAGCTTGTAAAACTAGAAGAACTATGTTCTTTGCGTAGAAAATGAATGACTGAGTGGTAGTGGAGGAAAAAAAAGAAGATAAAAAGGAGAAGATTCTGATTCCCTTTATATCCTTTTCAATTCCTCTCCCCTCCTCATAACACCCAACTCCACATGCTGTTTCCTGGATGTTAGGTTCAAAGGCATACCAATTGTCCAATGGTTGTTGTCTCAATGGGGCCAAGCTGGGTGCTGGAGCGGAAGAAACAACTAAGCTAATATGGAATAATATATGACGTCTATTCATAGCAAGGCTGTATCGAAAGGCGGAGAGTACAATGGAGTCCAAGTTCCCCAGCTTCTTTCGATCAAGGTGCAACAACAAAGATGCATCCAGTACTTGTATTGGAAAGCGTAGGTATCGAGTCTAGATGTCATTCCCAAAGAAGTTGTACATGGCTTAGGATTCGTTGGCCCAAAAGCAAGTTTTAACATGTCACAGAATGTATTCAAGTCAGCAGCTTTCACTGGGCACGTCACAGCATCTACGGCATAATGCCATCATCCAGGGCAGATTAATGAAACAAAGTCTTGAACGGGTTTTACCAGAAGAAAATTATCATTAGGTATAATGCAATTAGAGATACTTAAACTTGCTGAGATTCCCAGTGTATAGGAAGTATCCCCATCGCCAGGAGGCATGAACCACTTCGGAATTGCATCCACGCAAAGAAGAAAAACAGTTCAGCCTTTCAATCACAGCTGAGGTCTAAGATATATGCACTCTTTGCTTTCGGTGACCCGTTGTGTTCATGCGATGAATCACAAGGGTAAGACCTAGTTTACGGGAAACGAGAGTCTGCGACACGGTGATACCAGAGAAGTTTTTGTCCTGGTGATATCAGCTAGTTATGTTGTAACAATAAAAACTACAACAACATTGAGCAACTTACAGACCCCATACATGACGTACTCATGTCCCCACAATATCTCGATCGTTCCAACGTTCCAGTTTGGAGGATTTAAAGATGCTTGCCGAGCCTTATTCTTAACGCTAGTTAGTCTAGGAATTCGCCTGCAGAGCCGCTCTAGTTAACCCTAAATTGAGACACTGGCCTTCAAATTGTTCAGCCGGCTCTTGGGGAATCGAATATCAAAAGATGGCCTTGCAATGAACCTTGACTGTGTTGCATTCCCTGTAACGTATTTCACCACGTACCCATGTGATATAAAACACTATTGAGTCATTTGTGTACAACTTGTTAGACTACCTGGCAAAAAGGCCCAATCACAATTAGTTTATATGACAGAATGGCAAGCTTGATTGATTGCAGAGTTTGCAACGCTATGAAAATGACTAACATAACTTATCACTAGTTAACGTAGTCCGACACCTAACCGATCACGACACCTAACCGATCAAATTTTCGTCCCAATCACCCACTCTATTAAATCATTCAATATGACAGCCACACCTAGCAAAGAACCTTCTAATCAAGAAGCCAGGCTCTTATTAGCTATTAAAGATTATGAAACTAAGCAAATTTCATCTATTCGCGTTGCTGCTAAGACGTACGAGCTTCCTTATACTACGCTTTACGATAGACTACGCGGTGGAACCACGTACACGAATGCTCAACTAAAAAATCGAAAGCTGACCTCTACTGAAGAGGAATCTCTAGTTCAATGGATACTCTCTATGGATGAGAGAGGACAGCCTCCCCGGATCGCGACCGTACGAGAAATGGCTAATCTACTACTTGAGGCGCGAGAATCCACTACTACAACTACCGTGGGAGGAAGATGGGTAGAAAGATTTATACAACGGCATTCTGAACTAAAGACGAAGTTCTCACGCAAGTACGACTATCAGCGAGCTCAATGCGAGGATTCAAAGATCATATACGAATGGTTTACCCTGATGGATCGTACGATAAAGAAGTATGGAATTACTTCAGAGGATATCTATAACTTTGATGAGATTGGCTTTACAATGGGGGTTATTTCAACATCCTGGGTGGTTACTAGAGCTGAGAGAGCTGGCAGGCCATCTCTTTTACAGCCAGGGAATAGAGAATGGGCAACTGTGATCGAGGCAGTTAACGCTACGGGCTGGGCTCTACCTCCTATGATTATCTTTAAGGGCAAGCTTCATCAAGCCTCCTGGTACAAGCAGCTGCCAAAGGATTGGACAATTGGCGTTAGTGAGAAGGGATGGACCACGGACGCTCTTAGCCTTGATTGGCTGCGGAAGGTCTTTAACGGAGCTACTAAAGCTTGTACGAAGGGCAGATATAGACTGCTTGTGTTGGATGGGCATGGCAGTCATGCCACGGCCAGATTTGATAAATTCTGTCTGGATCACGGCATTATATCATTATATATGCCTCCACACTCCTCTCATTTATTACAGCCACTAGATGTGAGCTGCTTTTCACCATTAAAGAGAGCGTACGGCAAGAGGGTGGAACAAAGCGTGAGACTAGGAATCAGTTATATTGACAAGGAGGACTTTCTAGCCAGCTATACAACAGCTAGACAGGAGGCTATGAAGGATATAACTATAAAGAACGGATTCAAAGCCACAGGCCTAGTGCCATACAATCCAGATGAGGTTCTTACTCGCCTACATACTCAATTTCATACTCCTACCCCCCCGGGGTCAGCTCACGGATCTCACGGATCTCAATCCTCCTGGACCCCCAAGACCCCTCGCAATGTGACTCAGTTGGAGCGGCAGAGCAGCAGAATCAAACGCCGTACGGAAATTCTCTCTAGTCCTACAAATCAGGCTCTTGATCAACTAGTGAAGGGATGTCATACGGCCATGCATAATGTTGCTTTACTGACCAAGGAAGTCATGGAGCTGAGAGCTGCCAATGCTAAGCAGAAGCGTAAGAGAGAGAAATCACGTTTCTATATAGCTAAGGAAGGAATCCTTACGGCTCAAGAAGCTCTAGCTAGGATGGCTAAGCCTCTGGAGCCTCCTGAACGTACGGAGGTTTGGATGGAGGATCCAAATCCGGAAGGTAGAAAGCGAAGACCTCCCACCTGCAGCAAGTGTAATACACCCGGACACACTATTAGGCAGTGCCAACAGACCTAAGGATCTAATCTATATAATTTCTATATAAAATCTCTCGTGGTTGTTGCTCAATTTAAAAAATTGTCAAATAAGGATGAAAATTTGATCGGTTAGGTGTCGTGATCGGTTAGGTGTCGGACTACGTTAAATGAGCTGTACCACTAAATGAGCTGCTCTTAGTAAAACTAAATTCAACTTGCTAGAATCCAATTAATTCCACAATAATAAAATAAATATTAATTAGATTATTAAATAGTAATAATAGTATTATTTAGTTTCATATAAAATTGATAATTTAATAAAATAAATATATGTTTGATTAAAGAATATAGTCATAATAGAAGATTTGATATGAAGTTAAAAGATTAATTAAAAAAATATTAATTTTTAAATTAGTAGTAAAAGTAGCAATAAGCTGCTTTAAGAAATAGAGATTGATTTTATTCTCTAAATTAAAAGATTGAATAGAGTTTAAATAATTAGAATTCACTGTAAATATATACTTTTATTATTACTTTGATATAGTTATAATTAAAGTAACTAATTTTCACTTTGCAGTATGAGTAGAAGTCTGTCCATATTTCTCAGCTTCAAACTAAGTTATTTTAGCCTCTTTAATAAGCTGTTAAGCTTTGCACTACTTTGTTTTTTTAGTCTTCTTTTTCTTATAAGCTTTTTGAACTATTGTCTAAGTTGTTTATTATTCAATTTATTTTTACTATTTCTCATAAGCTTTATGTACTTTTCAAAGATCATATTGAAGTTGTTCTTATACTTGTTAAGTAACTTTCTTCTTTTTTTTATAATCTGCTTTTTGAATTCTTTTATAAATTTATTAAATTTTATATAATAAAAAAAAATTAAGTCTAATCAAATTGATACTATAAATTTAATAAATTTAAAAGTTTTTTATTTTATTATCATTTTTTTTCATTATTTAAAACTTTTATTAAAGTTTCATTTATATATATAAGTACATTATTTTCAAAGACAAGTTTTTCACTAGTATATATAATTTTCTTTATATTTTTATTATAATAAACTTTGTTAAATTAAAAATTTTTTAATATTACAATAAAGGGTATAAGTAGTTGTAGATATAATAATCTCAATTAATGTTAAATTAATTAAAGATAGATATTATTTTATAAATCAGTAAAAAATATACTTAGAAGTAAAAAAATAAATATCAGTGATAGTAAATATAGATTAAAATTCTTAGCTATTAAAGATTAATTCCATATAGAATTAAAGACTAATAAAAAGCTTCTTTTTATCATTTAAATAAATTTAAATTTACTATAAGAAATATTATTAATACTTTAAAAATATACTTCTACTAGAGGATAAAAAATATTAATATTTAAAAATTATAGTTAATAAGTTAAATACAAAGATAGTATTATTAGAAGACTTCAATTTAATATATAAAATTAATAAACTAATATTTACAAAATAAAGTATTTATTTAATATAATCAATCATTTAGTAAGACAGATCATCTACTGAGATAAATCTTCATCATTCAATATCTTTCTAATTGAATATCATTACAACTAGATAGTAAAATCAGCTAATTACATTATAAATTATTCTCTATATGCTGAGAGCATATATAAATAGTATGTTCTATAACATCACATTCACTGCACTGTAATGCTGCTTACTTTTGTTATTACTTATTAGACTGCTCTATTATCTCTTTTTTCTCTGCAATATCTCTTTATACATGATTCATTTCTTCTTGAACAGTCAAGCCCTCTCTCTGACTTATGTATATATGACATCTTTCTCACTTTCTCTTTTGCTTTGCATTTGCAGTCTTCAGCTCTTTGTTTTCTCTTGTCAAAATAACAGCACTATGCATAGTCATCTGACATTTCTTGACTAGCTTTTCCAGAGCTTAA